ATATGTGTGTGTATATATATATATATATAAATATATATAATCTTTGTGGAAAGTGATCTCTTCTACAAGGACCAACAGCTGAGGGGTGTATCTGTCTATTATCTCTGATTTACAAACTCACATTACACATGCAAGTGAAAATACAAATACTCACAGAAAATAAACACAATATAGCAATAACTCATTGTGATAAGGTGACCTGCTCATAGTTAAGAGTGTCCTAGCAATACATCTTGGAAAAAAAAAATCTGAAGTCCCAGCTTGCTATTGCTGCTAAACACCAGAGAACTTCGAAAAAGCTGAAAAAGTAACGATTGTTTGGCTATCTTGGATTATTATTGTTTTTGAGACACTGAGTTCCATGAGTTTCAATGACTGCGCAGCTTCACTCAGATGATGAAGGCTGAATGATTTCAGAAACTGCTGTTGTCTCAGAGCAGGTGAAATCCCTACCTGTGTGGCTCATGTCACATATCTAGGCGAGAAGTGTGACACCATTTTTACTGCCTGTGTCCTCTCATTCAAAGATGACAACAAAAAATGACGAGGTAGATGAGGACCATGGGAAAAGCAACTGGGGTAAATCTAAGGAGGGAGAACAAAGGTTTGGAGATGCAGAACTTCTTCAAAGGAAAACAAACATTATTCACACAATGTATAGGTCCACCAGGAATTCCAAAGCCAAAGTTGGGCTTTGGAAGTGGAAAAAAACTAACAGAAACTTTTTCCAGTAGCGTATGCCAAAGGGAGTAATTAGTGTTGGGTTATACTTTGCAGTATACTTTGAAATGCAAAGAAGTAATGGACAATTTTGCAGATTATCACCTAAGCCTAGAGAGTGCATTGCAGAGGGAACTGCAGATACACAGATGCATGTTTTATTTAGGTAAACACAATTCTTGTACTATCTGAAGTGAAGGGAGGCTGGTTTTAGAATCTGTTTCAGTATGTGGGTAAGGCATTACACGCTCTGGGCAAGGCGAATGGTAATGCCTACAAGAATAGTGTATGCATCCCAAAACTCAGCAGGCTATCTGTGGAGAAAAGAGAAAACAGTTTTGTTCCCGGGCAGGGGCTGACAGATCACATTTCTGGAAAGAGGCAACACCAAAGAGCTCATGCTGAAAACAGGCAATTTTTGAGCCTGAGTGGTAAAAGGATTTTCAAATCATTGGGTCTAGCATTAAAGGACACATATATAAGCACTCGCATCACCAATTTCTGTTTCTCATGAGTGGGATTTTTGTCATTATAGATGCTTAATCCAGGGGCCAGTGTAGCTAGTGGTAAGATTTCTGCTGGTTTTGATAGGCTTTGGATTCAGATCTTAGTCTCTAAGCTTAGAGAGTATCTAACATAGTGCAGCCACAGCGCTGCTGGATGCTTCCATAAATAATAGTAAATTATCTGAAATCCTGGCAGACAGAAAGAAACCTAGGCTGTGGAAAAATAAGGGAGGGAGCACACAACTCTCGCCTACTAGCTCCCTGCTTAAAATAAGCAGAAGAAAGCTGATGAAGGACTTATTTCAAACACCAGGAGCTTAAAGTAAAGTTCCTCTGGGCTTCATATTTGCTTGTGCATTTTGGGATTGTTTTTCTTTTCAGAGTTCTTTATATTTGCTTTGAGATTCTTTCTAACTTGGTTTATTGGTTCTTCCCAGTCTCCTGACTGGATTTCATCACTGGTTTCTGTGATTTCTATCTTTCATCACCAAACCCCAAGCCACCCACTGAATCTCACTGAATCGTATCTGCAGTCTCTGCCCACATGTGTTTATGTAGCCCTCACCCCAGGGCAGGCATCCTCTCCCTGCTGCCCCACTAAGATGTACAGCAGCTCATCTTTCTCCAGCTGGAAGGTGGCTGAGATGAAGACCCCGTGGGACCTCTTATTGTGGTTTTTGGCTCCCTTCCCCCCGGCTGCTCCATAGGCAGAAATCCTGGAAGAAAAAGTAAGTAGTTAAAGAGACAAATCTCACAACTCCCATTCCCCACCAAGCAACTCCATCTGCAAGCTCTCCCCAGCCTGCACTTCCAAACAAGAATTGCTTCGGAGCAGGCTCCCCTGCTGCAGCATTCTCATGGCTATTCTTTGCCTGGGATCCATGAAGCCAGGTTGCTCAAGGGAACAGGCCAGAGACAGAGACTTGTGGAGCAAACAGCATGAGCTGGTGTAGCCAAATCTACAAAACCAAGGCTTTGGGACCGAAATGACGGCAGCGATTCCACTTGACCACACACCCATGCTCCTGTTGTGACCTCTTCTAAGTCAGCGCTCCACCCTTCCACGCTTCACAGTAGCTTGGACACAGATCCCTACAGCTAGCGTCCCTAATTTCTCTCTTACTTCACCGCCCCCTCCCCTCACTCTGCACAGACGGTCCCACGCTTAATGCTTGCTGTGACTCCACACACAAAAAGCAGTCAAACGTGGCTGCTTCTCCAGCCCATGCTGATACTCACCTGTACCGGTTTGTGGCTGGCACTCTCCAGACTTGCACTCCCCGGAGCCTGCCCTCTTTCTCCACGGTCACCGACACGTTGCTGTTCTTATAGGCACTGTCGCACTGAGCCTGAGTTGGCCCGTGTGGACCGCTGGCACCACATGCCGTGAACCACCAGAGAACAACAGACGTGTCCCCTGTGACCACAACAGCAAGAGTTGGGGCAGATGTGAGCTTCCCATTATTTCTCAGACATGTACCATAACTCATAGAACTATATAACCAAAGGGCAAGTGTCATTAAAACAAGCAAGTGTTGATATCTTTCCTTAACAGTCCTCTGATAACAAAATTCATGTTATTATTATTACTCACAAAGAACATTAAAACAAACAAAAAAAACCCAACCCCCCCCAGATGATCAAAAGAAAGACCATGTTGCAGCAGTATAGGCTATCTACAGGGCTTTAAAACTCAGTATGTCTGTTTGGTCATGTTTATTATCATAATCATACCAAAATCACCTAAGTTCGCATTTACAATGTGGAAGAGTTGAAAGGCAGTACATGTTATAGTTAAATTTATCCACTCAATTTAATGCAGCTCCTTCATAATACAATTCACTAAAATACCACCTTTAATTGTATGATCACAGGTCACTTATCCCAACATTAGTCTAGTCATAGCACCACTGCTGCTCTGTGTATAGTCACTGTTTTTTTTTTTCCCTTCTCACCTTATTTCCTGCACGCTATTTAATAAATCATGGACCACAGATAAACCCCATCAATGGGGCAGGGAGAAGAGGGGACACATGGGAATTCTGAGAAGGGGTTTTATCCAAGTGTCTCACAGACATTATCAAATTTCTCATCTCCATGCCAGTATGAAGCAAAGAGATATTTATTACTCAGCTTTCCAGATGGGAACTGAAGCACATACGCAGAAATAAAGTTTAAAAACATCTGCCATTACAACTAGTGAACATCTATGAAGTACGGTGGAAGTTTCAAGTGATTTGTCTCAGGCTTGCACGAGAACCCTGTTGCAGCAGCAGCAGTCAGGACAGCCTCTTGCTACTTTTAGTAGGGGCCCTTTTCCTCCAAGCAATTTTTTTCCTGGCTTTCATTAGGCATTATTCTTTTGTTTCCACACAATGCAGGAGATAACCACCTCCTCCATTTCACAACCCTTATCCAAGACCCAAACATATCCATCTTGTCCACTGAATGAGATGAGGCCTAAGAACAAAACTAGCCAATAATAATCTATAAACTCTGTGATGCGGTGCATGCACAAGGGCCAGAGCCAGAGGCAGAACTGTTTAAAAAAATTCTAATCTTGTTTAAAGGAAAAGGCAAGCAAAACTAGCCCTAGCACATGTCATCCTAGGAAGATGCAGTTGGATCTCTGGAGTAAGAGCATTCACTGCATCACAGAAACCTCTGCCCCTTGAGCTCACAGGAACTGACAGCAGTACAGACGGTCACACTTCGGGTGGGCACAGTCTTCAGGAGATGGTGCAGTTTGTTGGCACCCAACTTCTCCTCCAATTTTTCCCCCCTCAGTGGATTTCCAGATCTTCATTTACTTCCCCTTCCTGGATCTTCGTATTTACACCCCTGTTCCCTAATCATTAGGTTCAGCTTCACTGCTCACTAAGTCCTAGTATAGCTCTTTCTATTCCCAGCTTTCTGTACTGGTCTACACCTTTCTGTCCTGAGATGGCTTTTGTACACTCTGAATTTGTGTCACTCAGCTAACTTCCGCTTTTACTTCAAGATTCTTTACTTAAACATTCTGCATTTCTTTAAAGACATCCTGCTATTTATGGACTGGTGAGTTGGGCTCTAGCAAACTGCTGCCCTATAGACAGACAATACTGACATGATCTCCAAATCTTTGGGATGGATTATATTTAGTTGCCCTGCTGCTATAGGGCAGGCAGAGCACACAGAGGAGATGGAAAGGGTACCAATCACCTATTATAGGCAAGAGACAGGTTTTCAGCACTGAATTGTGTACCTGGGAGCGAGGGCTCTTCTAGGGGGTTCAGAATATGCTCATCCAGGATATCAATCTCCTGTAGGTCCTGGCGTTTCTCACCAAAATGATTTGGTTGTCTTCCTATGGTAGTTTGTAGAATAGATGAGAGCGATAGCAGGATGGTAGAAAAGACAGATGGAAAATTTAAAGGTCACATGAAAGAACAATCATTTGGTTAAAATAAGTAAATATTAACTTGAGCAGGAAAGGTGCTATAAACAATCATAATTTTTTATTATTCTTTGGGCTCATGTCTTGCCTTAGCTACTGGTATCTGTGCTGAAGTCAATGGGTGTTCACATAAACACAAACTCCTCATGTGACACCATGCAAGTTCACCTGCAGGATAAGCTCCTTGGCCAGCAAATTGCACAAGAGACTTTAGGAAAAGAATGGTGTGTGAGAACAGATACCAGGTGTCAATGTTCTGCTGGTCAAAGGGGCAGGTGACAATTCTGGACAGGCAAATGAGTGGAGGTGTAAAGGAAAGTGATAGCAAAAATCGTTATCTTTGGTTCTGAATGGCATCATGGTAAGTAAAACAGCCTAACACATCTCTCTCAGCAACCAACTTTGAGCACCTGAGCCCTTGCTTAGTCAGTGAAATACTGTATAAAATTACGTGACTCACTAACATACACAGTTCAGAAACAACATACCCTTGACACAAGCCTTAAATCTTTGGATAGACCTTTCTGAAGACTACAGAGTAAAATGCTCCATTTCTGACCAGTGAGAGAGGCCTTTAAAAATCAGCCTTTTCTCAGAGAGGAGGGACTTCAAAGCAATTCCTGATCCAAAGCATCTGAATGCATCGAGGACACCAGACAACCAAAGCTGCCTTACAACAGGAAAAAGTAATAACCCAGTCCTTGCCTTATAAAGCAACTTGTTTCAACAGTTAAATTACCCGTTTTTATGCAGATCTTTGATTGGAAAATCTCTATAAGAAAAAGGAGAGACTTCCTTCCATTTTAGGAGCCCTCAGTTGATTTAATATTGAACACTTTTCATCAGCTGAAAAACATTACAAATATTTCAGTTTGCTCCAGTTGTGAGAATCTAACAGCTGTTTGATGCTCTATTCAAAAGAGACTCACTCAGTTCCAGCTGGACAATTATCTCTGCCGCAAAGCCACTGCTCTAAATAGTGATAATTAACACCCTTGTTAGCTGTGTCAGAAAGGCCAAATAACTAATTGAAGCATGGAGACCTTGATGAGCTTTTCCTCCTGAGAATATTCCCCCCAGGTCTGACTGAAAGCACATTGATGGATGGAAGTAAAAGGCAGCTTTGTACTGAGGCACACTCTGTTCATACTGAGATAGAGAACTTCAATGGATGAAGTTGTCAAGCCAGCGAAAAATGAAATTAACCCCAAACAAATGAACTGGATCAAAGACAAGAAGGAAAACCAAATGAAAAAGACAATGCACGGCCAGAAAAGATGCTTGGTCTCCCAAGGCCTGCACTGAATTACAAATCCCAAAGGTCACAACAGTTTCAGATACTTGGAGACGTACAACAAGTCTGGTTACATTTGCCAGAGCAAAGGAATGTAAATCACCCTCTGAAATAGAGAGTTGGTCTGTGTGTCCGCATGGATTTTTTTGCAGCATCCCAACCGAGTATCCTAAGGCAATGCCCCATTTCCAAACAAACAATCCTTCCTTCTTCAAACAGTCTCAAACACTCACGTGTTGAAAAGAAGTTTGTCTCCTCCGTGCTCAGCAGCAGACAAGCTGCAAGATGGGCTGAGCAACATGCTGTCCACATGAGCTATTAACTCTTAGAAGGCTGGCATTTTATGCACTGTCAGACATGAGTCTGTAAGGTGGTGTTCTCCATAAATGTGGTGTAGCCCTGGGATCCAGGGGCTGGTGCTCCAGCCTATTTTAGCTTCCATTTCCTCCTCTGACAGCCAACGTTTTGACCGTAAGCCAAGGGAAGACAGCAATACTTAATTCATATTAAGGTGCACCTATACTAGAAAAAATAAGAAGAGCACAGGATGCCTTTCCCAGGATTTAGCTAATGCTGTTGATTTTCACTCTGAAAAGCCACAGAGGGAAGCGTAAAGAGAAAGAGAGGGCGTCTTTTGCAGGCAAAGACCTAAAGTAACTCCGACATCTCTGTCTCTGGGACTCTAATGAAGAAAGATAAAGTGGTCTTGTGGCTGAGATTAATCAGAGTAAGGTACCCCACAGGATCCTCTAAGTGTGCATGGTCTCCTCAGAGATCCCACCTTACTTATGCAGGTTGGAGTACTCCTGGGAGACTCTCTGGCTTGTCCTGGAATTGGACAGAGAATGAGGAAGCTACACAAGCTTCCCCCTTCCCCATCCCTGCAGCTGATCCACTGCATTTCGAGTCAACACCTTCTTAAATCACTGAAATGAGGCAGTAATGAGGCTTGAACCACTCCTCACCTCAAGCAATCAGATTGGTAGGTCGAGAGAACCAGATTTTGCTGGGTCGGGGACTCCTAAGTCAAGAAGCAGAGACATGCAACACAAAAGTTCTCTCTGGACAGTGTCGCCATTTATAAACAAGTATTCTGGGAAACTGTAAATGATGCACAGAACAAAATGTAATACCTAGGCCAGGTGCACTTTGACAGACCACAGACCCATGATCTTAACTGGAACGATATGATGCTTGAAGCACCTAAAGGTAACGGTAAAAGCAGTGTCCACACGAACACCGAGGAGGGTAACAGTCAGCACTCTATTTGCTGTGTCAGCTCATGTTTTCACCTCTAGACACTCAAAATTCAGACCTCTTCCTGTGAAAGCACTAGTTAACTAAAACAATAACATCTCCTTATGTGTGTTCCCCAAAATGTTCTCACAATGAAGCAGACCCATGTTATCTGACACGACACAGTCTTACACAGGGTGATTGTATGAACCAGAAGTGCTTGGATCTTACCTTTTTCACAGGGAAAATATCTGTCACTGCCCAGGAGCTGTCATCCAAAGAATAGTTTGTTTGGGTTTTGTCCTTATTGTTTTCCCTTGAGCTGCCCTTGCTACTCACTTGTTTTCCTCCTAAATCTTAACAAATCTTTCATCTTGATTTTGAGGTATATGGAAAACCTTACCTTCTTACCCAGCTTGCATACAGACAAGCAGTGCTTTCAGAGCCTGCCCTGGGTTTTGAAGAGCAATTGAACTACAGGATTTAAATAGATGGAGAAAATAATATTTACATCCTAGCAAGCAGCAAATTCTTCCTTCCTGCCATACATCCTTCCTGCTGCCCTCATGCAAAGAACTCACTGCTTGGATCTTAATTGGCTCCATCTCTGACATCTGAAACCTCTCCTTGCCAGGGAGAAATAATTTCATTACTGAAAACACAGCAGAGCTGCTGGGCTTCTCTGCAATGTAACCGAATTAAAGTCATGAGAAGACAAATGGAAGGGGGTTGCTTTCAGAGGCGAGAAAACGTCAATTTGCAAAGACAATTCAAGGAACAGTGGCAAGTGCAAGGCTTCTGAGAACCATGTTTCCTTCTTCTGCATGAGTCACACATCTCTGGGTTGCACCTTCAGATGGGGTAAGTGCCAGCTGCTCCTGGTCATCAGTGCAATTTATACTAATTGAAAATGAGGAGTAACTTGGGCAGTTTAATGGACAAGCTCTGATAACGTTGCTGCGGTGGCATTTACGGCCCACCTACTTGCCAGACGATACACACGAGAGCCAGAAAAATGTCTGTGGATAAAGTGGAGGCTGTATTTGCTCTCAGGATGGCAGTGAAGTCCCGAAGTTGAGTGCACATCAGCTGGCACAAAAGCATCTGGAATTACTCCCTTCAGTTTCCTCAAAAAATTTCAAAAGCGTGTCAGCGTGGAGATCCTAAAGTGTTTGAGAGCCAATGGTGTTAAGGAGCTGGAGCGAACAAGTGACATTACCCTCAGAGAACATCTCTTCCTCTTAATTTCAAATGAAAATGCAAATGCTCAGCATTTTGTAGAAGGGTAGTTTCAGTAAGCGCAGAAAAAAGGGACAGAGAATAGGAGATTGAAGCAGACAAAAGTGGGAGGGAGAAGAGGCTTTTGCTGATGAACTTTTCACATGCCTGTTTTGACATAAGCCCTTCCACATGTTACGTTAGGCTACAGCTAGTCTCGGCAATGGCATGTTACTACCCTAAATGCTGACCTACTGGTGTGGTGACACATGAAAAGTAGCACAGGACCACTTATCCACATTTTCTCTGCAACAGAAGTCACAATTCAAGTGCTTCAAACAGAGCAGGTAGGTCTTATCTCCAGGGACAAAAAGAAGGCAGTTTCTAATATGTATAGAAGTTCTAGTATCCAACCTCCTTCCACATGTCTGCTAAGAAAATCCTGCTCTTGCTAACATGCTTCAGAGGGTACCACTGGCTCCATTTTTCAGTGGAATACATCATCGTCAGTCCCGTTTGCAGTGATGAAGCAAAGAAAAGTACGTCTGTTACACATCTGCCAGTGACAGCTGATGTACCTCCTTGCAGAGTTAAACAAATTTGTTGCAATAATCTAAACTTTATGGTCAAATAGCCACTTTATTCCTTAATTTTCTTCCTTTCCTCCTCAAAACCACAGTGACTTTCCCCTTCAATTTCAATAAATCCCCTTCAGCTATCAATTGCCAGGGTGCACAGGTCAGCAGGGACCGCTGAAGAACAGTGTGATGTAATCCTTCTACTTAGGGAATAAGCCTTGTGTTTCTTGCCAAGACACACAGTCAGGTCTCAACACTGTGATGCAGGATATCCCAGATTAGAGAGAAAAAAAGAGTGCTAGGACATTCTGGCACACTATAAAATTGCCTTTACTTGCAATCTTCAGTAGGTCCGAGATAAAATGGCACTGTGCTGTAAAAGCCAACACAAATGATCCACGTGTGGGGAGAACAAAGCATGCGTGTACTGGATCTATGGGGTGCTGATCACACTACCCAAATCATTTAAGAGATTCTACAACATTTGTGGCTCACCATCAGTGAAGCAGTCCAGTCCAAATGTAATATTGTCGATAGCGATGTCAGCTTGGGAATTCCAGCCCCAGGTTGCCAGGAGCTGCAGTTGAAACCTTTGCAGTAAGACAGAATTTTTAGAGAAGACAGACTAAGGGGCAGGGGTGGAAAAACAAACCTAATAACACAATGTTCCCTTAACATCAGATCATGATTATCACTCTTTAGAATGTTTCCTCCAGACAAATGCTGCCAAAAGAGCTTGCTACTAATCTTATCTACACACCGACAGTTAGTAAAGACCAACCAACATTCATAATGCCAGGTTGTATGGGGAGCAAGAATGAGAACCCTACTTCCCCTACTACCTGCACACATGTAGAAACACAAGATACTGACCCTCACTAATACTTATATACAGACAATCATCCTTCTTCAATTGTTATAAACAGTCAGGGAATCAAACATGTGTGAAAGGGAATGGAAAAAATAATCTCCTTCTCTCTATCCCCAAGGAGAAAGCCAGAATAAAAACTGAACAGAACAACAAAACCCAAAGAGACAGGAATCTTGATACCTGATCCTCAGCCAATGACATTTTAAATTTCAGCTATAACTTCCTGAAGCTTTTGCTTTCTAGGCTGTCTCATCCTTTTCAACTGTGACCAGGTGTTTAGCTACTTATCTAGGAGGTCTATCATGTCCCATGTGCATTGCCATGCTCCGAATTCATAAGGAAGAAAGAAAATGGGCTGAAGAATTTCCTTCTAACGGATGGAAATGAATTGTTTTTCATTAAACTTCAGAAATAAATAGATGTCTCATGCTCAGTCAATTTAGAGCTTATTAAAAGCATATGGAGAGGACCTTTACTGCTGTCATTGGTGAATGCACTTGCACCAAATTATGGGCAACAAAGTATGTGTGCGGATTCCCCCCACCTGCCAAATGTTTGTCCGTATCCACAGCTAATACGGCATGGTATAGCTGTACCAAAATCTTTAGGGACATGCTGCTTTTACCCCAGCTCAGGAATGGCTCCTTGTGCTTAAATGAAAGTGTTCACACCTGCAAGATCTGAGCACTCTGGGAGTAGGTGTTGGTGCAGCAAGGGTGAAGCAATGGCCACTTCAATGACCACTCCCTTAGCTACAGGGCTAGCAGGGCAACTTGCCAGTAGATCCTTCTCCTCCAGAAACCTGCCTCTTTATTAGCAAGTTTAGCAATACTTCTGCATTTTCAGACCTCATGTCCACTGACACAAGACAGTAATTCCCTGGGCCATTTGGTGGAATAGAGAGTCACAGCACCTCGAGGACCACAGCACTTCTAGGACCCACAGCCACAGATACAGCACCAGAGCCTATCCCTTAATTAAGGCACTGATATGGCAGCATACCCTTCATCTGGCCCATGGAGTCAGGGCAGGAGAGGGTCCACAGCCCTGCACTACAAGGTAGATTTCCGCTCTGGCTGAGTGCAAGTGGGAGCCTGGGAATGACCCCCTCCCCTGGTGCATGAGAATCTCATGAGCTATGGGTTCTGTATGCCTCCCCTCTCACGTAACTTCAGGAAAAGGTGAGGAATTTGCCTTTTGAACTTTGTGCTGTGTTAGTCGGAGGGGTTTCCAGTGTTCCTGCTCACTGAGCTCATTTGGCTGACTCCAGCACGTTACACTCTCCAGACCTCTGATGTCTGGTCTTCTGCCTGTCTGATTTTCTTCTGATAGCAGCATTTTTCCCTGTGCATGGGAACCAAGTGAGTAAATTTGCCAGCTGATCACCAGCAGAAGCAGCTTTCCAAGTAGCTGGATGCCCAGCTGGAAAGCTGAGCAGCAAACTGTAGTTTGTCTTCCTTTGAGCATGATGCTGATAACACCAAGGTTGCAGGTTTGATACCCGCTCAGTCCCCATGTGTTGCCTGACCTAGTCGAGAGGTGGCGTCCCTGCCCACGACAGGGAGGTTGGATTAAATGATCTCTAAGGTCCATTCCAGCCTAGGCCAGTCTATGATTCTATGGTTCTCTCCTGAGAAATAAATTCACTGGAGGAAGCTGTTGCTAAAAATTACTTATAGATCCTCTCCATGGCCTCCTCCTTCTATCTCCTTCTCTTCTTCTGGTCCCATCAAGCTGTTCGTGTCCTGCTACAGCACCTATTTGTGTTGCACCCCTGCTCCTTGTGTGATCTGTCCCTTCCCACTCATTTTACTATTTGCCATTATGCCCTCAAGAAACCAAGGAAACATATAGCCCTTTCACAGAGCAAGAGAAGGACAAGAGTTTCCTGAAGATTCAGGATACAGGAAAATGATATGCCAGCCCAAACTCCATAATAAAAAATTCCCTCAGCACAGCACTGCTGGGGTTTGCATTACCAAGGAAAACTGCCAGCACCCACAAATACACAGAAAAGTCATTCATGGAGGTTTGTACCAAACCATACATCGCCCAGCACTGTTCACCATATGCCTCTGTTTACAACTGTTTGCAATGATGTCAACCTTAAACCAGTTTAGGCTAGACTTTCTTTCCTATCTAGGGCTAACCCTGGCGGAGCTCTTACCGGTTCTGAAGCACTGGCATTGGTAAGGTGATGAGAAACCAGTGATCGCTCCAGCTCCCCGCCCTTTCCCACATGGGCAAGGTGGTTGGAGCTCCCTTTATCTCTTCCCTGATGGAGAAGGAGACGGTACCATTGTAGCTGCCAAAAACATGCACTGAGAATTGGATCTGTAATAGAGGAAGAGGAGAAAAAGAATGGTATCCTGGGATAAAAAGCTACTCATTTCTCCCCTTCCTGGAGATCTGAGACACCAAACCTTTGGCCCTGGGTCACGTAGTTTAACCATGCAGACCATTAAGGCCTCCTCCTTGCTTGTGTGTGACTCATCACTGTTCCTCGCACAGAATTTTCTCTCACTGGAGACCCTGCCTGATACTCCTATTGGGAGGCTGTTCTCCAACCACTCACAACAATATCCACGGCCTCAGACATCACCTGGGTGACAGAGCACTGGTTTCCCTGTTATTTCCTTCAGGAACCAAAAGCAGTAGAGCAGAGGAACACCAGCTTAAACCCAAGAAAGACTATCATTAGATGCTTCCACTAGAGCTAGGTTATCGCAGAAAAACATAACCACGTTCCTCTTTAGTGTTCTCATCAGCTTAAGAGATCCTGCAAAAGGGTTTGAACCACAGGTTAATTATTTTAGGGACTCCCATTTTAACCATCCAGGTTAATGCATGGCTCAGTCCATACCCAGGCACCATATAGGGCACAAAAGCTTTCTGAGGGAAGAGCTGCCCTGCCCCAAGTGCCCTTGAAAAGAGGAATTAGGCTGTCTCTGGAGGCAGGAAACCTCAATCCATACTTGCTCCAAGTCATAGATAGGCACCACCTGGATAGTAGCACCCATATAACAGGTGAGCAACCTGAACACCAGACCAAAGAATGTTTTGAAGCAGGACTCCTTCTTCTTTCTTTGGAGTAAGCACTTCCACTTTGCCACAGAGCAAGAGAGAACTGCTGTTTCCACCAGTGCTTTGATGGCCCGACTGCTCTTTATATTACAAAGAGCACCAGCAGGAAAGGGATCACACACATGCGTGTGCTGCAAAGAACAACCACAGAAAGTTCCTTGCTCCTGAAATGTGGGTTCTAATCTTTTCCAGTGGAGGGAATGGACCTAGATCTCCTGTGATCACAGCCAACAGCTACTGCTCCTCCTCCTCCTGCTTTTGTGAACCTAGCTCCAGGCACACTTTATTTCGTTGAGACTACCCAGAAAACTTGACCTGGATTTATAAATAAATATTAATGCTGAAGTTAAATTTTTGGTGACTGCATTATATTTCTTTTGCCGTCAAAAGGCATCAAAATTTTGTGTGTTCCCCTAGCAGGACTGGACTCCAGCTGAGACTTGCAGCTTAATTTTCCTAAGTGTTACGGGTACAATATTATTTAATATTTTTAATTCCAGTGTCTTGGAGTTCCCTTTACTCATTACAGAGATTTGGGCTGAAAGCAGGTTATGTGGTTTTATCCATGCCAGCTGCCCTCACCTATTGAAACTCCCAAAGAACGTGGACAGATGTTTATCGTCATCTTCATCTATTCCCAGAAAATCTAAAGCGTACTAATATTACACCCCTGTTCTCAGTGAAACCATCAAGTTTGTTAACTCCTGTGAAAGTATTGCAGAATTTATGAAGAGACATCTCAGCAGCAGGTGTACTGAACAGCTCGGCAGCCCAGACAGCTGACACCCTTTCTTAAAAATCAAGGCCACCACATACAATTCACGTGCTGGGTATCCTTTGGAAGAATAGTTGGCACAGTTAATCTGAGAAGTTTTCCACATTAAGGAGTTGATTTGGGGCTCCTGCTTTCATATGCTGGGCATTCATCTCACATCTCCTTTCCAGTAGCTAGCTAGGTGGTATAACCAACTCTTGTGGTTTCCAGTGTCCTGCAGAGCATGCAGAGGCACAGGAGAATGCGCTAATGGTGCAAATGGTGCCTACAGCCTGATGGTTAATGCCCCAGAGGTGCTAAGACAGTGATATACCTGGTGGTCTTCCGTGGCAATGCTCGCTGGCAAACTTGTACTGTAAGCTTTGGCCACGCCACTCGTCTGATTGCTCTCTGCTCGCAGGTAGAGGAAGTGTCCTGTGAACAGAAAAGTGAATCAGGGAAGACAAGATGATGTTTTGCCTTTTTTTTTTTTTAATACTCTCTTGAAATAATTTAACATCAGTGTGCTGAAGAACAGCGTTAAGTGAGGTGACAAGCATGTCTTGAGAGCAAATCTGTCAGTGAGGATATAATAAGCGCCCTGCTAGGTTTTAGCAGCTACAAGGATGATTAAGGAACTTGAACATCTCTCCTATGAAGAGAGACTGAAAGAACTGGGACTGTTCAGCCTTGAAAGGAGACGGCTGAGAGGGGATCTTATTAACATATATAAATATCTGAGGGGTGAGTGTCAAGAGGAAGGGGACAATCTCTTCTCAGTGGTGCCCAGCAACAGAACAAGGAATAATGGGTTTAAGTTAGAACAGAGGAAGTTCCACCTCAACCTGAGGAGAAACTTCTTGGATGTGCGGGTGCCAGAGCCCTGGCCCAGGCTGCCCAGAGAGGGTGTGGAGTCTCCTGCTCTGGAGACTTTCAAAACCCACCTGGATGCGTTCCTGTGTGGCTGCCCTGGAGGATCCTGCTCTGGCAGAGGGGTTGGACTAGATGGTCTCTAGAGGTCCCTTCCAACCCCAAACATTCTATAATTCTATGAACAGTCGACATCCCAAACCCCATCCTGGAATGTCAGTGCATAAATATCAGACACCACCCAAGTATCTTCCCAAACAGAGGCTCACACCAATCTACAGTGACCTCCTGGTCAGCCCTAATTCTTACACCACTAATATCAATGACTCTTGCTGAGACAAACACTGGGCTGAAAGAGCTTATTTGTGGTCTTTGCTCCCGGGAAGAGTTTATACAAGCTCTCAAGAGACAAAGAAGATGCTCGTATGGACAACCTTCATTTTGACAGGGAACCTGAGGCAAGAGTCATCTGTGCTGGCACTTTTCTGACTTTCAACCTGAACATGTGGGGATCTGGCTTCCCTCTTTCTTATTTACCAAGCTCACAGTTCGGGGAATTATCTGACTTTTTTGCCACTGTTAGAGTCTGGCGAGGGCTTTCAGAAGACTTGTTTCTACAAGCTGCCTGCTTCTGTTGGGCAATTTCTGCTTTGTGATGCAGCAGCTATCACGTTGTTGCTGAAGTGCTCTGCAACTGCATAGCTCATAAGAGGAAGAAGGAAGAAGTATATATAGAGAAAAGAGAATTCATTATATATATATTTTTTAAGGTGAAGGAGAATCCTAATCTCCAGTAGTTTCATGTTAACTATTTTTTTCAGAACCTGTTTCATATAAAGTTTTGGATCATGTTCAAAAGTTAATTTTAACTACATTTAAATTATAGATAATTTAAATTATAGATAATATTGATGCTCAAGTTTCTTTGATGATGATGCCAAAAATTTTAAATCAATTTAAAAAAATGGAAGTTCGAGGCTACTGCACATATGCATACACACAGATACATTTACACAGAGAGAATAAGACAGAACTATGAGGAACTTACCACCAGTGGCTTGCAAGGTAGACCCTACAAATGAGTCATCTTTCACAATTTCAGTAAAGCTCCGAATAGACCAAGGAAATGCTGCAGTTTCATTCAGCACCCAGCCACATGGACCCTCTTCAAAAGAGCAATGTGAGCCCTCTGGGAGACTATCTACAATGGAGGATAAGAAAAAGCAGGAAAATAGGAGGAACTTGATTATGAGAAAACATAAGGAGTAGCAAAAGTCAAAACTCATTATGGTTGTCTAAGCGACCCAACATATCCTGGAGATACTTGGAGCTTTGCAGTTCTGTCCTGTTCTTGAATTCTGTGCAAAAACTGCAGCTCCCACTATGTAAAGAAAGGTAAATCACTGCCAAATGTCTGTAAAGGCCTTGTTGCATATGAAATTGCAGCATCACAAAGTGTTCTGTGTCTGCTTAAAGGAAGGCAAAGCCATAGATTATTTTAGACGTCTTGCCACTGTGCTTGCAACAAAGCTAAATGATGCTTCTTAGCACCACATATACTGAGTCCGGGGATTTCTCTGTCATGATGTGCAAGGAGAACTCTGAACTGGGATCTTGGAGGGACAGATTCATGACTGTGTTGGTGGCTGGCACTGGAGAGATGATCAGCACCTTTCACTGAAGGTAAGTTCAGACCCTGGGTCCAGAAGGAATTTCTCACCCAGCTGCAGACATGTAAATAAGGTTTTGACTTTCTCTGAAGTAGCAGCAACTATGAAAGGCAGGTCATTGAGCTCCTTACTCTAATATTTAAAAAACCAAACCAGGTCAAAAAACCCAAATCCATTTTATTTTATATAGGGTGAAATTTCAAAGAGAATCTTCATATTCAATTAATGCAAATAAGCTAAATTAATTCAGAAGGCAAAATACTGAATCAATCTAGAGATGGAATCAATTTGACTTATTTTTCATTCTAAATTATTTCTTCTAATGGGATGAAGGTTCGCATGAAGTGCCATGCCACATACTCACCACATCTCATTCCTTCTTGCTCTTTGGCAGGGCAATCACTGATGAACTCACAGATTTGTAGGTGGCTGACACAGCCTCCATGAAGGCAAGGGAAGGTGGAGCCTTTGTCATATAAAGAAAGATCTTGGTTTTCTTTATCTAAAGGGAAAAAGAGAAAGAAGCACAGAGATTAGCTGGGAGAATGTGCATGACATTTTTTAGCCTTAACATGTAGGATCTCAGAAAGCACCCTTTGGGTGATAAATGATATTCACCTCTGGTTTTGATCAAGTAGGCTTCTATCCACCATGAGATTCCTGCAGATCACCTCAGCTCTCATGGAGACCAAACTTATTGCTTCTTTCTCATGCACTGCCTTCTGCTGTGTTTGTGTAGATAATCACTTAGCTCTGGTCCTGACAGACACATTGCTACGCCTATTGAAACTCAGGCTTAACTAACACATTTCTGTGCCAGCTCTGTGGCATCCAGCCCATAAAGATAGCTGCTTCCCCAGCAAGTTGGCTCACTGCTTGGGAATCTTACCCACACACCCTAGCTAGTTTAGCTGGCTAAAACTCCAGGAGCATTTGACTGACAGCACAGGTACCCAGCAACCAGGCCAAATACAATTTTTCAGTCTGATACTTCCCAAAACCATGGATTTTAACGCTACCAACCCTGTCCTGTGAATGTGTGTGTGCTGTTATGGACCTGCAGGTTTGTGTAAATCTCTTTTAGACCTGCTCCCCTTCAGCAGAGCTCTGCACAGAAGTTCCCCTGGGATTGTTAGTGCTCTGGAAAAAATGCAAAGGTTAGGGAACCAGTTCCAGAAGAAAAAGGACACCTCTTGTCGAGGGTTAGGACTGGGCCAGCCACTGAACGCTGACAGATGCTCTCTAACCCCTCTCTCTCTCCCCAATGGGAAGGAAAAGGGAATGAGGCAGAGAAACTTATAGATTAGGAAAGAAAATTAAAACAGCCTTAACAAAACAATAATAAAAACCACCCCATATACATATATACAAAACCGATATCGAACCTGATTCCTCCCCCCTCCCCCGATGGCAGCTGTGCACAGGAGCTGGACTCAGGAACTCAGGATCAAAGACAGAAGATTGGTTGGAGTCCTCCCTCGACACCGGCCATTGCAGAAGAGGCCTTAACCTCCGTGACTCCTCAGTTTTACAGTAAACACGACTTCCTTGTGACCCCTTCTAATTCCCAGCCCCCTCAGCATGGCACAAGAGCCCACAGTGGCCTTGGTCACTATAGGAATAAGCATCAGCAAGAGCCTTTCTGCAGCCCAGTACAGGCAGGAACTGTAAACATCAGGTGTTATCACTGCCAGTAGCCCACACTGTCTGCAAAACATGCTGCTGACTTCAGCCAGCGCAGCCTCCTAGAAGAGATTGAGCTGAAAAGTAAAATCACTGAGTAGAATTGGTTCTGTTTAGCTCAAACTGAGACACCTCTGCAGCAAACCACGTACACAGTCTGAAATTCTATTTCTTCATGGTACTGTCCTGTGTGGGTACATGCATTAGCTTATTTAGGGACTGAGTGTTTAGCAAAGTGCTTCAGGCTATATGCATCCCCTTAAAATGCCATGACTGTCAAAAAAAATTACATTAAAAATACCATGTTTGTTAAATTAAAATATTAATGACGGCAGTAAAATTAAATCTCTAATATCAAAACCAGTCTCGTGGCATATTGTGAAACAGCTCTGTGAAACCAGTATTCTCATTTTATATTTGAAACTTTCTACATTACATTCCAAGCTTTTTCTACAGTGTCTGCAAAACAAAGGCAGTAGCATTATATTAATGCATGAAAACCAGGAACGGAAGATGATTATGTCTCCAACCTGCAGGCTACCTGTGCCAAGAGACTTTTGTATTTCCAAGAAACTTAAATGTCATTAGCAAGGTTCTGCAGAGCTACTGAGGATCATTTGCACAGCACTCACAACAGGACAGTAAGTACCAAGTAAAACTGAGGATTTCTGATTTAGACAGAAGTTCTTAGCCTGGCTGTAGCAAACAGACGCCACAAAGTGCAAAGGAGATCAGTGTTTCTTCATAAATTTGGAAGGTAGAGCCCCAGTATGAAAAAGGCTCTGGTAGGACAGAGTGGTATTTTGTTCTTGATTATTTAAGGAAGAAAAACATTACATGGTAAAATAATCTAGGCAAAGACATTTTTCCATTTCTGTTACTGGATGCAGCATAATTCTTGTTGTTTTGTCATGCAGAGATCAAGAGAAGCAAAGCTGAAAAATGGAGAGGATCACTTAAATCAGTTCTAATTCTGAGCTTCCACCCTGCCTTCAGAGCACATACATATGTGTGCACACACATAAAACACATGCAAACATGACCCAAACAGCTAGGCACTGCCAGATAGCCTAGAGGATACTCAGCTTTCTTTTAAATCCCATCCAACCAACTCTCTGATCATAGTCATCAATTCTGGCGAGGATGCTGCTCTCTTTTCTGACTGTGTTTATTTATTCCAAACCTGACTGTACTGCAACATACCATGAAAGCAGTTCCTGAGTTGCAAGGAGCCCACTGCCAGTACTCCACCCTCTTGTGCTCCACAGCTTGAATACAGCAAGGTGATTTTAAAAGGTCTTTCTATTCGGCCAATCTGGGCCATCAGGTATTTCCATTTCATCCTAGAAGACAAAGAGCTATCAGACATTCAGACAGCACGCTGGAATCCATGGAGTCTCTAGCATAAAGATTCCACACCATATCAAATAGTATCCACACAGTGAATATATAATCCATGAATGTAAACAGCAATGTAACAAACAGGTGTTAATATAAAAAAGTGACATTCAGCCTAACAAGCTCGTGTTCAGTTATCTTTGCTGCAGATCCTATTCCTAATGATGAAAAGATCCAACTTTTCCCAATGATTCCAAAATCAAAATGGGACTTAAGTTATCAGCAGTTTTGAACTCCCCGTATGTGTCTTTCACATATATGGTTGTGTTCTCTTTGCTCTTGCAAGTACAGAAGAACCAAGCAGCTGGATCTCCTCAACCTAACACTGACATTGGATGTTCTGCAATTAAACATCTGGCCCTGAATGTTTCTTGGTTGTGTCAAGTGTGAAAACAGTTTTTTTCTGTACACTCTCTATCTAATCTCCCACCTTAACAAGCTACAGTGCCCCCACGAAACAAGGGGAAGAAAAGAAGTGGTATTCCAGAAAATGCAGCTTGCTCTGGCAATTTACATTTCACCACAGAACCAATGTCATAGTCCCGACACAGCAAAGGCTTCTCAATCGTGCGGCGCTTGTAACAATTCAGGGAAAGACAGATGGTCCCATGCACTCTAATTTTAAAGACGGTTGTTAGCCATCAAAAGCTAGAGAGATGTATCAAATGGGAATCTTCACTCAAATAACTCTGACAGAAGTCAGTCCATTCAGATGTCATTAAAAAAATCCAGCAGGATTCCTAAAATATTTTTATTTTTATTTTTAGAAACTGCCTTTCTATCCCACGTTTGCAAGACAATAAAATATAGTTAAAATTACATGCTATTATTTTGTAAAGGGGTAGTAGCAAGGATAATGACATGGATCCTTGCTCTAAGTTTGTTTTTGAAGAGTATCGGTTTTACCCATTTGCTGGAGACATCCTGGGTGAGTGACTCTAAGTAAGTGCCAGTGGGACGATAAGGCCAGGCCACAGCCTTAAGATGTGTTGCTCAGGCTCTGCTCCTAGTATTTTTCGTTTGGGAAGCGTCTTCGGTTGCCATGAAGTAGTCATCCAGCCCTCATCCTGTGTCATAGACTCATTAGAAGGCAACACCTAGACAGCAAATAAACCTCTACTGGACACAATATAAAAATCACAGACCGTCTAATTTGCAGCTTGTAAAAAAAAAACAAAGCAAGTTCAATTTTTTATCACACTCTTCAGTTTTGCTTGCCACTGATTAGTTACCTAACTTGTTTTCCCTCCACAAATCAACTATATACTTTTTCTGGTGAGAATTTCTTACTACTCCTTCTATGGCATCCATCCCCTTATCTTCTACTTTCACCATTGGATGCACACATAAACATCCATGGTAACCCTAAACTCATCTGAAGTTGAGTTCCTCTTATCAAGATGAATCTATTTCTCCAGTTTCCCATCCTATCATATTATATTCAGTAGTTCAGTATAATTTAATTCAGCTTGAGAAATGTCCAGTCCTGGACCACAACTGCACTATCTCTATCACCCAACAAAGGAGAATTACTACTTTACTTTCATTTTGTATGACCATGCAGCTTCAGGAATGTCCAGCACTTATAAATATATGTTATAAATACAAGTATAAATTTATCGCCCTGCCACACTGTGGCACAATGCATGAGGCTGACCTGGAACTGAATCACTTCTGCCACATGACACAGCTTTGTTCATCATTCCATTGCATCCTCACAAAAATCAATGGGCCTTAATCAAATTGGTTCAGTGAGCCACTGAAGGTAAGGACAGTCTTTAAATCTTTTGAATTTACCTACTAAGCATTCCAAGCACCAAGACATAGTTCTAGTACCTCCACCAAGTTGCAGCCTACCCTGTGGCTGTGACATCCCAGTATCATGGAATCATAGAATGGCCTAGGCTGGAAGGGACCTCAGAGACAATTTAATCCAACCTCCCTCTCGTGGGCAGGGACGCCTCTCAACTAGATCAGGCAACACGTGGGGACCGAATGGGGATTGTCTATGTCACCGCACCCCTGCGTACCAGAACCTGTAGTACACAGTCTCTGATTCACAGTGAGAATTATATTTACTAGTAGCAACCAAAGAGATTACTGCCCCACAGCTGAAAACGACGACTACTTCAGCTGCTGCACCTTAATCTTACATGGTTTATGAGCCAGACACTTTGGAACTTGCCATATATAGCCTGGTATATCAAACTAAGCGAAAATCACTGGTGATCTCAGTCAATAAAACAACCACTGAAACGTCACAACTGAGAAAGATGCACTCTCCATTCTGTCATTTCTGCTGAGAGAACTGTGGCATCTAGTAGAAGAGCAAGGCCACTATCTTAAACCACTACTTGTGTGAACTGACAGGTCTTTGGAGTCAGAGCCCTAAGGTCCTGTGAAGCACTCTAGTTCTGCACTGAAATATCTCTAGTACTGATTCCATTTATAACACCACAGCAAACGCTGGCGAGCATCCAGAGACCACAAAAATGACAAGTAGCTTTGCATCACCAGAATACTTCTGCATATGGACTCTCATCATCATCAAGGTATTCCCCTTCAGAGAAAGCCTCGCCTCCAAGATTCAACTGCAGTCAGATTTCTAATGCTGTAGATAATTATACCTTCACTGCTCGGTCCCCCTACTCAAGTAGGGCCTAGGCAGAGCCAAATTAATTTTCTTAATGGAATCAGGAATGAAGCCCATTGTTGAGCTAAGCAGAAGATGGATCATTGCAGCAGGCTTCCAGATAAGCCAAGCTTGACAATACCTTTACTATTGATTTTCTGTCAAACCAGATCTCAAGTAATGAGGTAATATTACTCTTCTTCTAAAGAGAGACGTTAAAATTGATCTCTGTGTGTGGAAGGGCTATCGGAGTCTGACCTCATTTTGAAAAATTTGCATGGATAGAAAGTCTAGAGTTGCTAGCAACCTGATGCTTAAGGCGAGAGAACTCAAGATTCACACCACAAACCTATAATTTCAACCTCTGATTGTGTTTACAACTTTTTATTTTCATCAGCCTCTCAACCTCCTCTTCAGAGAAAACGTTTCCAGCTCCTCCTCCTTGCCAATCCTTTCTACACCATGCCTTTCCATATCCAACAAAGATCATTAATTTTAAGAAAGACTTTTAATATTAAGAACAACAATTTTGCCATTAAGAGTGAAAAATTCAGTAAGACTGAACAGGAAACTGAATTAAGGGCAGTCAACACATGGCTTATTGCACAAAGATATGTATGCAAAATGCTTCTAAGCTCAGTCAGTGAACATGCAGATTAGAAGTTTTACATTACTTTTCTACATACAGGAAGCTGTTGCCTCCAAGTCTTTGCAAACACCCAGCTCTTAAAAAGAAACAGGCGAGAGAGCAGAATACATGCCCTCCCCTCCCACCTTCACCCACCAGTTGAAGGTTCTTACTTGCCCCAGTGTATTTTCGGGTGCAATTTCAAGAGAAGCACAAGGGGCAGTAAATCATACTCCCAGACTGGTGTTCGAAAATCACAGTCTTATACAGGAGCTGGACTGTCCTTCCCTTACTAGCCGCATTTTTTTTCTAATTGAAATGACTGTGCTCACTGTTGTCAGTATGAATTAGGCATTTTCTGGGGACGCTTACCAGACTACTCCCTTTCAAAGACTTATGTAGGTGGACGCCTAATTTATGAAACTCAAACAACCGTAGATGTTTCTAGATGTTCAGATTAGCTATACCGCAATGTCTCCATGTACAATAAATAACTTCTGTGGACGACAACATCATTAGTAGAACAGAAGTGTCAAAGATGGTAAGTTTCTACTACAAGTGTCTCAGAAGCTGGCAAGGTGTTTTAGCACCACCACCACCCCCAAAAAAGAGAGAAGACACAAAAAACCTAAGCAATAATTGCTTTGTGAAGTTGGCTAACTGAAGACCCATGTGTGCACAAGGCTGTGAACTTCTTTGCTTTTCTGACCAACCAGACAGCCAGTGCCTTGTATTTCACAGAAAGAAAATAGAACAAAATCAATTTGTCTCACTGGCCACAGAAAGGGAAAAGAGTATCCCCACTCCAAGTGATCCTTTTTTATTTTCACTGAAGCGTGAGTACTTGTTGCTGAAAGCAACTAGCTCCTTACTGAGACAGTTTTGGCTGACAACACTGAAATAATTGTGGTCAACAACACACACAAGCATGTGAAACCCTTCAAAGCAAAACCACACAGGTCTCAGAAGCATTTTCAGCTGTGACTGCTTCTGGGTCTGTGTGGTAAAGAGGGAAACGGTGGGATAAGTAAAATAGTAAAAAAGACATTAGATGTGACCTGAACAAGCATCAAAACTGTAGCCCTGGGAAAGTGAAGACAGCTTTCTGAGCCAATTGCCACAAGAAGAAAGGACTTGCAAGCAAAGCTACAGGGTGTTGATGTTTGAGCTCTACGGGGGCAGTAAGAAATATAATTTTATATATTATTTATAAATACATAGAACCTCAAACACCTTGCTCTCCCAGTGGTCCTCCCTCTAACAGTAGTAACTCAGAATACTCTCACCCAATCGGTGTGGTATATAACAATAAATGCTGTGACTTTGTCCTAGTGGCTCAGAGGACGTGGTGTGAAGGCCCACCTGCTTCTTTGTTCTTGCACTGTGGTATATGTGTAAAAAAATGAGTGGCAGCTTCAATACCACCAATTTAATGATAAATCTAGTAGTTACTGAGGTGAACAGGACTGCAAGTTTCTCTCATGCATGACATATCTAAACTTTTGGGAACTGTGTAGCTGATGGCTCCTGAAGGAGGGAATACCATCAGAAGAAGTCTTCTAGGTCCAGAAAGAAGACAGTTCACCAAAGTGGACTGGTGCAGATGGAATTTATGATGAAGTATAGCTTGATCCTGGAATTGAGGGGTGGCAAAAAGAACTGAAGGAGGATTTTCTGGAATGCCTGATTATCTGAAAAACTGTCACCTTTTTTTTTCCTACGTCTAAGTTTCTACTCTGATCTCAAGACAATGCCTTGGTAGTAACTGTCAATGGTTAAACTACGTAATACACATAGGTATCTATCTCAAGGTCATTTGCTCACTGTCTTTCTTGCTCTGCTCTAAATTGTGTAACAGTATTTGTTTAACACAGAAAAGCTTGTAGAACTCCCACTCCCTGTGGAAAGGTGCTGGAAAGTGGAAACCTATCAGGATAGTCTCTTCTTAACAACCAGTAATGTTAAAATCTTAATCATGGAGAGAATGTTCATTTCAAACTACCTGCCTAGTAAGAAAACTCAATCACTGTGTTAGAAACAAATTTTGTCCTGCCTGTATGCTAAGATTTTTCAGGAGTTTCCCTGTAATGAGGGGGAAAAGAAAGGGTATTTAACATAACGTGATTCCTAACATTGTTTTGTCTCTTTTCTGTATCTCCTTTCTCTCTTGATTTTAAACAGGACTTAGTCATGTTCCATCTTTAAAGCCTTAATAGTAAACCTTCTGAGCTTACCAGTGCTACTCACTAAGAAAAAAGTAATACCAGTGTCTATGCCAACTTCCAGTAAAGCTAATTCCAATCTAATAAATCTAAATGCCTTCACATTTAGGGAGGTGATAATCTTGACTTCATGTAGAATTATTTTGCTTTGCTCAAATAAGTTGTTCCACAACATCTATAATCTATTCCAGAGGTGCTGCAGTGATCGTGATCAAAGGCTGGTCCAGCCGGCTCAGTATATCAAAAGGGTATTTTATGAGTTTCTGTAGGGGAACGGAGATGCAGCTGCAGTTGCAGAGGCTTGTCAAATAGTACAGCAAGGGCAGTTACAGCTAAAAAAGGACATTGGAAACTGATCCCAGAAAATGCAACAGATTCCTTGCGAAATTGGCAAGCGGAAGGGGAATGAGTAGTCAGGAAGAAAGTGAGCAACAGCTAAAAGCAGGAGAGAGTGAGAGAGGGATCTGAAAGAAAATAAATACCTTTTTTTTTAGTCAAACTCTGCTATCTTTGGCTGACCAGGAGTCTTGGCTACAGATCTCCATGGCAGCCTGGGGAGTGCCAAAGAATTCAAAGAAAACAAGAACTGGGATCTGTTGCTTAAGTTCTCCACAGGAGTCAGTCAGGTGATGGAAATAAAAATCTCTGTTGTGCGTCCCAGGTTCTTACAAGGCAGATTGCACCAAAGGAAAAACAAGCACATGAAAAATGGCAACATTGGATGATGCAGACTTTTCTCCTTCTTTTCCTGCTGTGATTCATTCCCTTTCCCCATCTCTCCTCCTTAACTGCATTCTGCTACATGCAGGAATGAAAAAGTAAAAACACTGGGAAGATCAAAGAGAAGTGAATACAGGACAAAATCCAGGGCTGCTGCACTTTCTTTTTTTGTCTTCACCTCTTCTCACCTCTAGCCTCTGTTTCGCTTCTCCCTGAACTCTACAAGAGAAGCAAAAGAGGATGCTTCTGAGCTTAGCACACAGAAGGAGGAAACTACAAAAGAGGTGAAGTTAATCCTACCTCGAAATGAGAAATGTGACCCTTATAACAATGATAGGACCCCTTGAATACTTAGAGATGTCAGTCACGTTGCCAAGGCAGGTTTTGGAACGGGTGCATCATAAAGTTAGTTTTAGCATCAGTGAGAGAGTCAACCAATCCTGACCCTTCCAAATGTGAAGGAAGAAGAGCAAGTCCTACACGAGTTTGTTCTTTCTAAAGGGGGCACACAAAACCTGGATCTGTTACAAACATGCTGTCAGGGAGCGGCACCCTTCAGTCCCGACAGTTCTACCTTCATTTTCAGCAGCAACGATCTCAAGAAAGGAGGACACTGATAAACAGTGGCCTGGAAGGACTCCACCTTACCCTGCAATTCAAAGTCTAAATAGCTGTAAATTGATTGTCTTACCCAGCATCCTCCTCATGGCCAGATCTCAGGGAAATTATTACACTTCTGTTTGTCTCCACGTATGTGATTTCAGCTGTGAACCTCTGGAGGAGAGGAAGAGCATCCTGTGAACATACGGCCAGTTCCAGCAAGCAAGAGTCCAAGCTCCCAGGCAGGATAGGGCTATGCAGGCTGAACTCACATCTATCTGGGAGCCTACTGGCGTTCAGAAGGAAAATGTCCCCTGTGAGGAAAAAAAAAAAAAAGAAAAAAGAAAACAGAGGAGACACACGGCGTGGATGGAAGAGTGATAATAAGAAGAAAATAGATGAGGAATTTGAGGAAATGAATCATGAGAGGAAAGGAGAGAACTATACACAAATCCCCCAAAATTATGGGAAGTAAAGAGAATAAAGTAAAAATGAGGGAAATAAGTAAAGACATTATAGAAGAAATGAAGAGAAACCAAACAAAGCAGAGTGAAGATATGTCCAGCAAAACAAAAGCCAAGCTTTGCAAGCCAGACAGCAGGTATGTGGAGCCAGCGCTGTCTTGTAAAGGTTTGTGTTTCCTAAGAAAAATCTTGTCTCTGTAAACAAAAGCAGCTTATGTTAAAATGGGGAGATACAAAATGAGAATATAAAGGGGCTGGCTGTTTACTGGGTACTTACATACACTACCTGGGCAGTACACATGCATTATATGGCTCTCAGTGACTCTTGGGCACCAACAATCCATGTAGGCGCTGCCCACCAGAACAAGCACATGGCAGGATTTTTGGTGACATGTACCCGAGACCTCAGCCCACCGGCTCCACAGCTGCTACCAGGGCTGAGAGAAAGCAGATGTGCATTTGAGGGGAAATGTAATGGCCTACCTTCAACATCTCCACGGGAGGAACTGTTTTCCAGAAGCAGCTGCTCCCTCTCCTGAGACATCAGGGCACCAACTGAAGATAACACCCAGTCTGGTTTTCCAAAACTGTCTGTGGACGTCATCCATGAACAGCTTGAGCCGATGACACAGGAGATTTCTGTTATGAGGAAACAAAGGTTTCGCTGAGGCCTTCCCAAGCTCAAGGGACAGGGGTGATGTGGGAACATGAGTGAGCTGGGGTACAGGGCATGGGGTTTATCTTTCCCAAGGAATGGAAGAGTTGAAGGGACAAAAAAGAAAGTTTGTCTTGTGCAATAACAGCAGAGTCTCTCACAGGGCAGGTGAAGGAACACGCCAGAGTGAAAAACAACCTTGCAAATTTTTGGTAGGTGTAAATCAGCATCTTCCCACTGGTATCAACACTGAATTTACATCGGTGGGAGGTCTAGTCCACACATACACAAAATCCTGAATAAGAATAATACCTAGTGCAGAAAGGATACTGAAACTCTACAGATTTAGCATTTTGGCAGAGGAACAAATGAAACTTTAAGGTCAACCCTCTTTCAGAAATACAAAAAGCTTGACAGGGTCTCAACGCAACGCAAATCTGCACAACGCAAGATTTACATATTTTTTATTTTTATTTTCTTTAAGAGTTTTGCTTTCCTCCAGAAGGATGGACAACAACACTCTCTTAACAAACTACAGAGTCCTGGCCAGAATTTTTCATAATCAGCATATCATAAACCAGACAAGAAGTAATTCGCTGTTCTCTCATCAATCTAATGAACTCCCTGAAGGGATGTTAGCTGCACAAAGCTCTCCCACACAGAGTGCGGCTGAACAGATATGGCAAGCTGATATTAACTTGCACAATATTTATTTTCAGTAGTAATAATAATATTACAGTAATAACTGGAGTATCCCCAGGCCATGTGAGAAATAATAAGAGACTAAATATTCCTATTTGGGTTCCTGATGTTCAGAGGGGATTTGGTCCTTGCAAACATGAATCACACAATGTTGTCCCTTTGGTAGCCCTATTCCTAGGGAGGAAGAAAAGACAGGTATAAAGAACAGAAAAAAGGTCAGAGGTATAAAACAAGGATAGGTGGTTGCACAGGCAACACAGGTGGGGCAGGAATAAAAGGAGCCTCCAAAACATTATCTATACTTTAACTTTCAGGAAAAGAAGAAATGGAAGTGTCTTTCGAGTGCAACAGCCAAAATAGACAAGTTTTCCTAATTTTTAAAGTTAATTGTAGCTACATTTTTATAAAACACCACCCAGTGTGCAGGGCTAAGAGAAACACAGACATCACGGAGTTGCACATCACTCTGGCCTGGGACAGGCTGTGAACTCCCACCTGAACATCTCCTCCGTTCTTCTGCGTGCCTCCCAGCCCCTCCTGGCCAGCTCACTGCGGGAGGTTACTGCCTCTCACCTGAAAAGCTTCTTAGACCACCTCAGCAAACCCACACAGCTCAGCAAAGGTCTACGGGTGTAAAACAGCTTTAGGGATCTCAATAGCTCATAAACTCCGTGGCTGTGTGAGACAAAGCAGAGTCCCAATCCAGATCTGCTGCGCTGTTTCAAATTTATTAAAGTTTGACAAGTTAACTCGGTACCCAGGGACTCACAGTCAGTAGGAGTAAAATTTTTATCAGGTAAAAATCTAGTTGGTCGTAAAACCCAGAAAGCAATTTCTTTCACAACAGCATGACACTGCAAGAGAGCAAAGAGAGAGCTCAGGAAGGAAAAAATTCCTTTTCTTTCCCTTGAAACTACTATTCAGGACAAGATCATTTCATTAAATTTCAACAGTGTGCCTGCTTGCAGTAGCAAGGGCTGTAACAATGCAGACTTAATCTTTGCTACCTGCCTCACATAACAAAGCAGTTTGCAGCTCAGATAAGATCTCCCTCAGAAGCACCTAATTCCCAAGGACTCTGGGCTGTATAAAGCCCATGTGCCACAGTCCAAGGCCTGGAAGGAACTGAATGCCTGGAAGAAGAGTCTGAAATGATCAGGGAAGTTGTTGACATCTGCTAAAAAAAAAAAAAAAGGGGTCTCAGCTTTCTGGCAATGGATCATGTGCGTTGCGTTGTGACAGAAAAATCTATCAAGAAGCTGTTGTTGAGCATAAATCACAGAGCAAAAGAACTGGGTATGCTCACGTGGTCACAGTGAAAGAGAGCACTGAAAGCTGCAACCTCCAACACCACCATCTACCACCTTATGGATATTTCATATCCAGCTTTGCTTATCACCAATGAACTGGGACAATTTCAAGAGCAGGTCTGCAGAAAGGCAAAATATGACAGAAATGAAAAGGAAAAAAGTAAAATAGAGAGAAAATATCTCTATGTTACTACAACCAGCAAAGACATATTTTAAGATGTTACAAAAATGCTCTGAAGAAGCTTAGATTGAAGAAAGCTCCTGGACAGTGCAGGTCATGTCAGAAATGAGAATCACGCCTTAAAGAATGGTCTCTCTGTATGAGGAACTCCTCCCTGGCCAGACTAGGTCACCTTGCCACCTCCTGTGAGGAACGTATGTGACTTTTCTAACTTTCACAGGCCTTTCTTTGTTGTTTAGCATCTTCATCAATGACCTGGACAAGGGGGCAGAGTGCACCCCCAGCAAGTTCACTGAGGTTACAAAACAGGGAGGAGCAGCTGGCACACCAGATGGGCTGTGCTGCCATTCAGAAAAACCTGGAGGGGCTGGAGATTGGGCTGATAGGAAGTTCTTGAAGACCCACAGAAGGAAATGCCAAATCCTGCACCTCAGGAGGAATAACTCCTGGCAGCAGTACACACTAGGGGCTGGAAAGAACCTCTGAAAGGAGGACTTTGAGGTCCTGGTGAACGACAAGCTGTGCGTAAGGCAGCAATGCACCCTTGTGACAAAGAACGCAACAGCCTTCTGGGCTGCAGTAGGAAGAACATTGCCAGCAGGTCGAGAGAGGTGAACCTACCTGTCTACTCAGCATTGGTGAGACCACATTGGAATACTGTGCCCACCTCTGGGTTCCCACATACAAGAAAGATACGGACTTACTGGAAGACCATCATAGACCCAGAAAGATTGAGGGACTGGAGGATCATTCATAAGAGGAGAGGCTGACAGGGCTGAGACTGTTCAGCTTGTAGAAGAGAAGGCTCAGGGGGATTTTGTCAATGTGTACAAACACCTGATGAGAGGGTGTGAAGAGGAAGCCAGACAGGACCATAGGCAATGGGCATAAATCAAAAAAACCTCAACCAATAAATTGAATCCGAATACATGAAAACACTTTCTTACTGTAAGAGTGGTCAAATACTGGAGAATAGTGTTGCCCAGAGAAGTTATGCTGTCTCCATCTGCGGAGATATTCAACATTGTGGTGGGAAACCTGCTCTACCTGACTCTGCTTGAGCTGGGAGGCTGGACTAGATGATCTGAAGAGGTCTCTTCCAACCTCAACCATTCTGTGATCATTTCACTAAACAGAAAGGTGTCACTTCAATGTCCAGGTTTCCACACCACTGATAACAACTGGTTAATTTCTCTTAGGCATTTATATAGTATTTGCTACCTCTATCCTGGCACCGCAATAAGACCAAATTCGTCCTACCTATCTCACAAGCATTTTGCCCAGCTCACTGGGCTTTCAAAATGCCTAGAAAAACAAAAATCCATTCGAAAAAACCCTTCGTTCATTATCAAGAAAGGTAGTTTCTTGTATTGCTGCTGGAAAGCAGTCCCACTAATTAGCTTTTATTTCAAGAACTCCCAACCTCAGATCTCATGGATTTCACTGTGCTGATAGACATTAGATTATTCTCTGTCTTTACATTTTATATCTAGTGGAGGATGTCCCTGCCCATGGCAGGGGGGTTGGAACTGGATATTTAAGGTCCCTTCCAACCCTGACAATTCTATGATTCTGTGATTCTATATATTGGGAGTGATATACATACACTACTTTATTTATTTTTGTATAAGAAAGTAAGGGATTCCCTTAAGGTTACACTGGCCTTATTGAGTCAATGGTCTATTTCCAGTAAGAAATCCAGTGACAGAGCTTTCTGGCAAAGGGTCTTTGTGACTACCAATATTTATCTTGCACCTAAATTCTCAAGTAAAAATAAGGAGGATGTAAGGACAAGGACTTGTGGTACCTGATTTAGAAGGCTGATGCAATGAAACCATCCTATTTTTTATCACGGATTGCTTCTGGCGTGGATTTGGTGACGAAGAATTTTCTTCATGTGATCCAGAACCGGAGACAACAACTATAACAAAACAAAAAGAACGGGAAGAGTTTGATGGTTCTTTACAAAACTATGCTCCCATATTGTTAAGCATGAACACAGATCTAACAAAGCCACAGTGTAAAGTTTGGTTGTGCTGGAAGTGACCAAAATCTCAGGAGATATAAAACACCACAGAAAGAAACTATTTTCTACTTCACCAGTATGAACAGCTAGTTAAATAAATTAGCTGCTTGAATAAAAGAGTTCTTCTGGTTCAAATTTTTGTTATTCAAAGTAAAACAAATTTACCAGAATTAACATCCATTGTAGTACTTGTGACAATTAAATATCCAGTACCATCTGATTTCCCCTTGGAACAATTCACACCAACAATGGCTTTTTTATTTATTTAACCCATGCATGACAGGGAGGTTGGATTAAATGATCTCTCAGGTCCCTTCCAGCCTAGGCCATTCTATGATTCTATGTGAAAATACACAAAGTCCCAAACTAAGCACGCAGTAATCTTTATTTAAGACCATTCTTGGTCTTTTCTTTCCTAAGAATCATGAACAAGCTGAGTAAAACAAATACATTTGTTTTCAGAAGGTGTTCAAAGACAGAGATACACAAAATTAATTGCTTTCAGACCTCACCTGTGTGGGTTACAAATTCAGCAACATAAAAAAGTAAAATCATGTCAGAGGGGACAGGAATCTTATTCCCATGAATTGCAGTTGAGACAAACATGAATACACATGCCTTTGATAATAGCTAAGATATTCTCAGCAGAACTAATTTCAACAGTAATATTATGAAAACACACAGCAGGATCTAGAAAAAGAAAACAATAAAACAACACCAAAACTTGAACATATGCTCAACTTTTTCAAACTTGTCCCTGCTTTTCATTTTTCAGCAATATCTGGTCTGATTTTAAACTGCTAAAATGATTTCCATTTTAATTATCTGACAATGTGCATCACACAAAGAGTAAAATGTTGTATCTTTCCATCCCATATCTTCGCTCGTGAAGCCTAGCCATGATGATGAAGGTGAAATCCTCAAAATAATATGAATTCTTACATGGCACTTAGCTGGCCAAACTTTGGCCAGCGTTATGAAAAATCCATACTAAAAAACAATCACATATGTTGCAAACAAATCTACTTCATCGTATTAAAAGAAATTCTGCTGTGGAAAGGAAACAAGACCTTTTGACAGCTTGAATCTGTTCCTCCCAGTTCTGTGTCTGTTGAGATGTTGCTCAGTTCCGTATCTCCCCATCTTTGTTCAGCACTGCTGTAGTTGCAGTATTTACTACCCTCGGGGCTTTCTCTAAAGTCTGTTCCACCCACTCATCTCTTTAGATGCTCCAAGCTGCTCATGTATTTTGGAAATAGCCTGAATATCACGAGACCCACAAAACACAGTACAGTCATAGCAGAAGTTTTGCTGGAGACATTCCGCCTGAAAAAACTAAAACTTAATCAAAATATCTGATTTGCATTCCCCTCATCACCCTACCCCCTGCCCCAATTACATAAACACCTTTGGAATTTTTTTATTAGCAAAATCCAGTGCACATAGTCATTGCAAGAAACTTTTTCACTTTCTTTTGAAACTGGGAGCTCCAGAGATACTTCCCCACATCATATCCTCTCATACGTGCTCATATGTAATTCTTGTATGACATGAATTTCAGCATTAAAAAAAAATAAAGACTTATCAACTCATCACTTATCAACTACATGATATTTCTGTCTTGATCAGCAAAAGACAATGCTTTAAGTGAAGAGAAATAAAAGATGGAGAGAAAGGACATCTGTGACTTTAAACTAAGTCTGCCATCAAGGGACATAAAATGATCAGGAGGAATCAGTAAATGTAACAATATTCAACTGTCACAGCAAAAATACGGGCTCTTTTAACAGTAGAGCACAAATCTACCACTTTTTCTGTAATCGAACATAGTAAACTCAAGCCTCCGGCGCTCAGAAAGTAATTCCATTTCTTTCACTATCTTAGAGAAAAAAGACATTCAGACACCTTCAGGGCTGACTTTTTTCCTGAATCTTGATGTTTTTTTGCAGAAGAGACGTTAATGGCAGAAAATACTTATAGAACTCACAATGGGAAATCGATTCCAGGTCAGCCAAGCCATCTTCCTGCCAAAGTAGGACTTTCCTTCAGAGCATTTTCTGGTGCTTTTCCCCATCTAATATCAAAATAGCAATTCCATATTTCTTGCTGCTTCTCTGAGAAAATAAACTAATGTACAGACTAATAGATCTGACTGTCAGGAAGTCAGACTAGGCAAGAAGGCTCTTTGTCCACTACATATCCTAGTATTTTTCAATTATTCCTAAACCTCCCACTTCCAGCTCAATAAATAATCTCTCTCCTTCATGAGTACTTACAGCTTTAAGCTATTAACCTTTCAGCTTGAAAATGTCACTGTAATCTCCTGCTGCTTGTTATTAAACTCTTTTATTCTTTGCTCATTAGTTGATTGGTCCCTGTGTCCCTTGCTTACTTCATCACTCTTACAATCCTAGTATCATTTTGGTTGGAAAAGATCTTTTGATATCATCAAGTCCAACCGTTATCTAACTCTACCAGACTCACTTCTAAACCATGATCTTTCTGTACTCTGTCCAGATAGATTGCAGGTAATGGTCAAAAAGGGGAGCAACATGACAAAATACAGTTTTGCCAAAGTTTCTTATATAAGGTGATACACTTCAAAATCTTAGATCCTTCCCTGGTTCTTCAGAGTTCTTGCTGAAAGGCAGATGTCAGCACACACAAATGCCATGCATGTGGAATGGCCATTCTGCTCCCTGCTGACATCTGCTTGTTTACCCATGCAACTACCTCATCAGTCATTCTGGCTCAAGTAAATCCTTAGTTGATCATCCACTATGGCATCAAGTCTCTCTGGCATGTTTCCTTCCAGAACAGGTATTCCTACCCTCCATATCTACGTTATTTGCCCCTGAGATACCTGGTTTTATAGCACTGGTCAGTTGGATTCTGCCTTGTTTTTCTCCTGTCTTCATCTTTATGTTACCTGCAGATCACCAGTACAGTTTTTATGTTGCCTTCTGACTTACTGCTAGAACTGTTAAATAGTACAGTAGAACTTACAGGCAACTTGCAGGCAGAGTTAATTAACAACAATTCCTATCTATATTTTTATTGTAAATCTACCTGTGACACAGTGATTTGTACCAGCCCAGGCACTAAAGTGTGTATCAAGAGTTACCACCTTAAGCATGTGACTGAAGTCAGAATGTCCTACGTCCACACTACTACTTTTTTTCAAACTTGTAAACTCATTAAAAAAAAAGACGCTGCAACATGTCTTTTCAACTAAACCATTTAGACTGACATGTAATTATAAAATCTACTCTAGTTCCTTGGTCCTATGTCAAGTATTCTGATATTTTTACTCAGACTGGTATTAAGGCAGCAAGAGTATATCAGTACGTGTAATTAAACACAGCCATCCAGCACATTCCATTTCCCCTTCTTAAATACTAATGCAACATTAACTTTCTTCCAGTTCTTCAAAATCTCTTCAGTATCCCAACACTTAGAGAACAATTCACCATAGATGTCTTTTAAAGCTCCTTAGCAAGTTCTTTCAGAATTCTTGAACACAAGCTATCTTGACCAGTTGTTCTGCAAACTAAGTATTTTATTAATTGCTTTTTCACAACATCTTTGTGTTGTTATGAAAATTATTGCATTATTTCTATGTGTCAATGAAGCATTAAATATTGATTTGTTTGGGTTTTTTTCCTACTGAACCCTTTTCTTTTTTTTTCTCTATTATTGACCAACCCACCACACACATCCCTGACAGACTCATATCATTGCCAAGATGTTTTTGCTACAAATGCACCTGGAAACCCACCTTAGGCTTTCTAACTCTGCCACTGGTTTCTTCCTAATTTCTTTTGCTTTTTCTCAACTGTTGCTAAACTTTTGACTTTTCAACTCCTTTTTACTGCAAGCAATGTACTTTTTCCCCTGTTTTTTATACCAGCATAGCTTTTTCTTTCAGCTATAGGTTTGTGGTTTTCAAGTCATTTACAGAAACAACTCAAGTATTACATGCAATTTCTGTCCACAGCCTTTCTTTCAACTGAGTTAGTGTGACATCTTTTTAATCTTAGGAAGATTTACCTCTTCTGGAAGCACCGAGATAGAGTACTTCAGGTGTTACTTAGGCACTAAGGTCCATTTATTTGAATACCTAGGCTGAAGTACATATCGGACCACTTCAGATTTTATTGTTTCAGCAAAATATGTATTCAAGTCACAATCACTTCCATTTATAAAACATCTGGGCTTAGTTCTGAGCTCAATTCTCACCTCAACTCTTTATTTACTGAGAATAGACCTAAGACAATATAATAATATGCAATATGAGGATTTGCATTCAGATCACAAAGATCCTCTCATGCTGGCAGAATGAAACCTCCAATACATGGCACTGTATTGAAGGCTCCACACACACACACCAAAAAGGTTTTTTTCCTTCCCTTACATACAGCAGGCTACTTAGTATTTCATCCAGGTCTTCAGCTGGATTTGACAGTCTACAGCAGTCATCAGCAATGTTTACCTTAGGTATTACTAGCTCTTTTGGCCTGCAAGATAACTTGATTTAATGGCTTGGCAAAGAGGAAATGTAACTTTTGCCATGCGATGTTGTTCCCAACCTACTCCTGTCCTTTAATTCCAATCATAGGAATCCTCCTCTCTAATCTGAGAAATTCCAGTTTACCAGCATTTAAATTTATAATTTAGTAATTCCATTCCATTGCCACTTGTTTATTAGCCAGCCTCATCACATTGGCAGTAGGAGTTAAAGAACTCTTTCAGTCCTTGCTGCCTTGATTAATTTTATTCTTAACACCTTGATTCTCTGCTAAATAAGTGAACTTTATGCCTTGTTTTTCTACAGTTTTCTTTAGTTGATAATTTAACACCATCCAAACAAATCTGGCCTAACAAGTCTAGAAGGTTGCTTCCTCTCCAGTGAGCTGGAGGCCAGTTAAACCATACGGTCTCTTTTCCCCAGAGAATACAGACGTATTTCATAGACCCAAGTCTTCTACACCATATCTGGCTAGCAGAACACTTACAGAATTATTTTTTTTAAAAAAAACCACTTTCTGTGTTGTTTTATGTGCAGAACATGGGTGGCATCTAAGAACATACTCTGTCCGTGCTGCTTCTTTGGCACCGTTAGAAGACTTCTAAAAGTTGTGAAACTAAACCCAGCTATTGATGCTAGTATGGACTATCCTTCGTAGGTCCTTGCTTGTTTACATCGGAGAAACTACTTAGCTGTTGCAAACCTATCTGGTATCCCATCCATGGGATACAGAATGTCACCTGCTTGCCCACCTGCTGGCAAGAATCTTCCTTGAAAGGTGGTAAGCAGATCAGTCTGAAGAGTTTTTCACAACCAGGCACAGAGCAACTCCCTGATATAATATTCCCTTGGACTGCCAAAGATCATCTGCAGTTGCCATGACAGACAGAATGACTAGATATCTACAGCTGGACAAAATTCTTACAGTCCTCTTTCCCACTGCTCACAGCACGCTGGCTTCCTGGCTGCCCCTAATTACACAAAATGCTGCTTTGTCTCTCATTTCCTCGCTCCTGCTATTTGGTCACGCAGTGGCCAGTTCTTTCCCTGGATAGTGATGTTCCCTGAATCGTGTTGTCCAACTACTCTTTATCCTTTCTGATGCTTTGTATAGCGCGTGCTCATCCTTTGATGCCTCAAATATTTGTTTCTACTAAAATCACTATGCAAAAAACAAAGATTCTTCAGGCTCCAGCACAAAACACAGTACACTGCAGGTTTCCACCACTGTGCTACAGCTATTAGACAGAACTCACTCAGAAAAAGTTTCACTCATGCCATCTACGTTTTCCTCACAAACCTAACCTATTAGATAAGATGGCAAAATGGAATTCTTGGGTCTTCCTCTTGATACTATTTCCCTAACTTGGCATATTGCCTTCAAACAGCAACTTGCTAATGATGACTTTTTATTCAGTTTTCAGTGCACATGTACATCTACTGAAATAGATCTGAATGACTATTTTAATTACAGTTGGGAAATAGGATGCCAAAAACACTTCTAAAAATCCAAAAATATGCCAGCTACTGCGTCGGCCTAATCTCCTAATTGTGTAACGTATACATGCGCATAACTCATGTGTGCACATATTGCCACATTAACTTAGATTTCTCTTTTTATAGCACAGCTGCTCATTACTCACATGTCTATTTTTATAATACTAACTGCTCATTACTCACAGATAATATGGGATGGGTTTTGCATTGTGTCTCACGTCTATTAAAGCTGCCAGGGATCAATCACATGCTACCGAACTGCTTGAAGGCTTTCCAAGGACCTTTGAGGAGGGGAGCTCCACTCTGCTCTACTTTTTGTTTTCTCTTCTCTGTTCAGGCAGGAGTGATTGCCAGCAGAAGAAGGCATCTACTCCATTTCTGCTAACTGTGCGCAGACGTGATAGTAGTACCCAAAGTGGGTTGTACCAATGCTGCTTATGAGTAAGTGGGATCTGTCCACAACTTAAAGCTTTCCCGGCAATCAGCTTTCTGGTTTTCTTGGTAGGATTCCTTTGGTCTGAGCTACATCAATTCCTGGCTTGACAGGATGTAAAAACTGCATTTACTGCTTATATTACATCTGTGTTGGAGACAGCAGAATTTCAAATCCTGAAAGCTTATTACCTTTTACTTTCCTTGCTCCTCAATACACATTAATGGGGAAAGAAGAATTTAAATTAAGAGAGGCATAACTGTGTGTTTCTCACAGGAAATACAGATCTCCTTTGGTTCGCAAAAACTCACCAGAACAGAAGAAAAAAAAAATCAGAAGTGTTCAATGAATCAAAAAGTGGACCCCCCTCCCCTGATTATTTAAAACCTTTTATCCCCTTTTGAAACCTTAAAACACTTTTTTTTTTCTTATTTCTACAATGAGAACACCATCCATTCTTAACTAAATTTTTGCCTTCTCACTGTTTAAATTTTTTAGGTTAACCTTTCCATATTGTCTATCTAGTTTACAGTCAGGCCACATGAACGGTTACATTGTCAAAACCAGAAGGATGACAAGTTGAGGGGAGATGAAGGATGCCAGCATTTCAAGCCGCTTTGTCATTAGAGGAAAGGGATGGGAAACTGCATCCTAAGATATCTGTTTTAAAACAAACTGGCAAAGAACTATCATCACAGAGAGAGCATAGCTTAGATAGCTGGTTTACAAGAGATGTATACCTCCGAGATGAATAAAATTAAGGGGGATGCGTCTTAACAGAAAAACTCTTAATAGAGGTTTTCGAGCAGCTCCAGAGAAGAATGAGAAAGGAATACATGACAGAAATACGTTTTGCCTTCCAAGGGAACAGCACTTCAAAACTGCTGTGCATAAATTTAGAAGAAGAAATATAATTGTTCTATTCCTTCAGAACAGCACTCATTTTAAGGTTTTGCAGCTCAAAAGGAGATACGTATGTGTGAATTCACACATGTAGATGTGACAGGCATAATTAGCCTATAGATGCAGAAAGAGTTAGAACATGGAAGAGAAGAGCTCCCTCAAAAGAATACCTGTAGCCTCACTCTCTGCTGATGATCACAAAATGCTGAGCAGTATCTATTTTCTCACAGCATGTTTTTATATGAAAATGCCAGTTTCATTACTTACCATGACATACTAATATTTTCCAAATATTCACATGGAAACTATTATAGCATTTTGTTAAGCTTGAAACCTGTCTTCTTCACTCTGTAATCTGCTCTGAGTTCAGAGTTTGTAATATTAATTCAGTAAAATTGTGTAATACCTAGCTGAAGGAAATTATTTTAAGGCTTTCAAAACAGACTGGTTGCCATACTGGACCACTCATTTTGACT